CCGCCATACCCCGCCGTCATACCCCCACGCTGCCGCCATACCCTAACGCCGGCATAGCACATCTTCTTCTTCTTCTTCTTCTTCTTCTTCTTCTTCTTCTTCTTCTTCTTCTTCTTCTTCTTCTTCTGCTTCTGCTTCTTCTTCTTCTTCATCTCTCCTCCTCCGCCTCCCACTCATCTTCTTCTTCTTTCTCTTCTCTCCTCCTCCTCCTCTTCCGCCCATCTTCTTCTTCTTGTTCTTCGACAACCATACCCTAACGCCATACCCCGCCGCCATACCCCGCCGTTATACCTCATCATGTTGACATGTCGGCCTGTCAAAGCCACAAAAACATGCGGAGCCCCGAACCCAGTATGTACTTGGTATCATACATGCAGCAAACAGCAGGCAATATACATGCAGAGTCCCCAACACCCAGAACCCCCCCCACTCCACACACACCCCCCCCCTCACATCCGGGCAACGTGCCCCCCCCCAAACCAGAATTTTGTTGCAGATTCGGGGTCCTCTCGCCGAGCACAGGAGGACCCCACCTTCAAAAAAAAATAAAAAAAAATTCTGGGCTGTTTTTTTGCCCGCTGGGTTTGCCCGGGTGGCCCACCTGGGCCCGCCCGGCCGGGCGACGTCCGTACTCAGATAAAGTTAGATTTTTTTATTATTATTATTTTATTTTATTTTTTGCCCGGCCGGACAAGTGGTCGCGGGCCACTCTGGTAACCTAGGTAATGGCCTTGAAAGTTGAAATATTATCATCGAACTGATAGGTCCCAGGTAATTCAGAATTTAATTTCTTCTGTGCACCACATATGGATTCATACTTGGGTACATGGTTGCCAGGCCGAACGTACGGAGGCCCCTAAGCTGACCCCCGAACGTTCAGCCTTTCGGGTTCCCGTACGGGGGCCGAACCTGAAGGGGTTCGGACCCCGCAAAAACTTGTTTTGGCACCTAAATACTATTATTTTTTTCTGAATGTTTCTTTCGTGAGTTCTTTGTTATGTAAGGTATCTCCCTCTTAATTTTGAAGCCATTCTGTTCAGCCAAAAAAAAATAAAAAATCGGCAAAGATGGTGGTGTCAAAACTTGCTTGCCCACTCACTAATTTGTTTTCTCTCTCTTTTCACTTTTTATTTTTCCTTTGTTTCGGGGCGTGAAAATAATTATTATTATTTCAAACTTTATTTGTAGATTCTTTATTATGTAAGATACTCATATAAAAATTTTCATGGCATTTGTCACAGCCAAAAAAAAATGAAAAATCGCCAAAGATGGTGGTCTCAAAAACGTGCTCGCCCACTCAATAATTTCATGCTCTTTTTATTTTTTCTAATTTTCATTATTATTATTTATTTGTAGTATTTGATTTTTATTTCAAATTTGGTAATGAATTTGGATGTAACGTTGAGGCAAATGTTGTTCAGTTTATTCTTCTGCATATGAAACTCCGACGAAACAGTTTGTCACAGCCCCTCGTTTGTTGTCCTCTTCTCCCTCTCTGCCTACGGTTTACCGGGCAGTTCTATTTGACGATATATATATATTTCAGATTTTTTGGAATTCTTTTGTTTTTTATTTTTTGTTTTTTTTTGGGTCCGCGTTCGGCCGAACGGCCGAACGCATCGAGAGAGGGGGTGCCGAACGTTCGGGCGTTCGGGTTCGGGCATTCGGCCCGTCCCGAACGTCGGCAACCCTGCTTGGGAATGTATTTCAACAGTTCATGGGTGTACCAACCGAGCTGGGCTGGTTGGTCTTCTTTCTTCTTCCTGCTTTCTTCTTGTTGCCTTTTCCCTCTATACCCTTGGCCTCCTTTTTATCATCCCCATTGTCTCATTCCTGTCCGTAGTGTCCGTCCTATCCCTCAGTCTGCCTGTATTTACCACAGAGTACCTCTGTAGTTCCCCTCTTGCGTCATGGTTTTTGGTTATTGCAATTACATTTCTCCCCCCCCCCTGAGAATCCCATTGCCCCTTGCACAGAAAGACCACACTTGATTGTTTTATGGGTTTTTTTTTTTTTTAGAACTGTTTGATTACGGGTGTTCAGCATAGTTTCGGCAGCCTAGACTTGCACCCGGCCGGAGTAGCAGGGAGCAAGCCTCGGGCTGTTCAACTTTTGTGAGGGACGCCGGGCCCGTTTCCCGGCATTATTCATAATATCAGCCTTGGGCACTGGGCCCGTAACAAAAAAAAAAAAAAGAAAGACCACACTTGCAGTGCCCTTCTGTATTGAGTTCTATGCTGTGAAGCGCGCCAAAAACTGTGCGGTGCACGCAAAGAACATTAAATCACCAGTCCCCATGCCACAACCCAAAGCTCGCACCAGCGTACACAGAGGCAGCAGAAGGGTCAGCCTGCTGACTGTGAGGGGGGGGGGGTGAAGATGTTGGCATTGGCAGAGTGCGCGTTTGTGTTGACTTCAACAATTTTTGTGCTTGAGATTGTGGGTTGAAAGTTCGAAAATAATATGTGGTGCAGATTGAGTGCACATGGAAAAGTCACTTGTATGGTGACACACAGCTGTGTCCACAGTCTTGTGAGAACTTATATTGGAAGCTGAAGGTAGAAGGATTTCTGATTGTGAAAATATATGTTGTTGGAGGAATGCTTTTGACTACATACAAGGGTTTTTCACTCTGGACAACATCAACTTCACCCGCAACTGAACAGCTGAAATCACACAATAGCTGGCCCACTTTCGAGCATCAATAAGATCATTTACAAGCTGTGGCACTGTTTGGCACCAGGCTCCGCAGGAAGCTACCATAGTCTGATTGTATAGGCCTGCATGCCACTGTAGAGATCTGGCCTGCACTTGACTGGAACTCGTTAACAACCAGTGAAGGGAGCGAAGGTAGAAAGGGAAGGGAAGGAAGGGAGAGCAGGGAAGAAAAAGAAAGGGCGGGAAAAGGAAGGGCGAGGAGGGAGGGAGGGATGGGAGAATGGAAGGGAGGACGGGAAGAAGGGAAGCAGGGAAGCAAGAAAGGAGGGAAGGAGGGAAGGAGGGAAGAAACGCGGAGGAAAGGGAGGGAGGGGGAAGAAGGGAAGCAGGGAAGGAGGGAAGGAGGGAAGGAGGGAAGAAATGTGGAGGAAAAGGAGGGAGGGGGAAGAAGGGGAGGGGGCGGGGGTAGGACGAAGGGAGGAAGTAAGGGCAGGAGGAAAGAGGGCCAGGGGGAGGGAAGAGGAGGGGGATGGACGTGGACGGTGGTGGCAGGGGAGGGGGAAGTGAAAGAAGAAGAAAGGAACTGAGGGTGGAGACAGGGGAGGGGGGTGGAAGGGGAGGGAAATGGAGTAGGGGAACGGAGGGAAGGGGATGGGCGGAAAGGAAGGAAGGGTAGGAGGGAAGGGTTGGCAGGAAGGGAGGAGGGCGGGGGAAGGGGGGGAAGGAAGTCCAGGGATGGAGGGAAGGGAAGGAAGGGATGGAGGGAAGGGAAGGAAGGGATGGAAAAGGGGGGGAAGGAAGTCGAGGGTTGGAGGGAAAGGAAGGAAAGGAAGGAAAGGGGGGGGGAGGGGGGAAAGGAAGTCAAGGGTTGGAGGGAAGGGAAGGAAAGGGAGTGACGAGAGGAAGGCAGGCAAGAGGCTGCAAAGGGTAACGATGGAAGGGTGCCGAGGGAATAAAAGGGAAGATGGGAAGAAGGGAGGAAGGGGAGAAACGGCGAGGAAAGGGAGGGTGGAGAAGGGGAGGGAGGGAGGAGGAGGGGAGGAGGGAAGGAGGAAGAAAGGGCAGGAGGATGGAGGGCAAGGAATGGAATGGAGGGAAGAAAGGAGAGGAAGGGAATGGACGTGAAGGGCAGAGCAGGGGAGGGGGAATGGAGGGAAGAAAGGAACAGAAGGGTGAGGCAGAAGCAGAAGGAGAGGAAAAGAAGGGAGGAGGAAGGAAGGGGAGGCTAGCGGAGGAGTAGGGAAAATGAGGGGAGGGAAAGGGATGAAAGTGGCAGTGAAAGCGGAAAGGAAGGGAAAGGGGAAAGAGAGGGAAGGCTGAGGGGGAAAGAAAGGGAGGAAAGGGGAAAAGCAGGGAGAAAAATGGAAAGGAAAGGGAGGTAGGGCAAAAGAAAGGGAGAGAATTGAGAAAGGGGGGAAGGGATGGGGAAAAGGAACGCATTGAGGGAAGGGGAAGGGGGAAGGGACTTGGGAAAGGGGCGGGAGGAAAAGGATGGGAAGGACCGGACCGATGCCGCCCAGAATACATGGGGCTGTGTGAGTTTGTGTCAAAAACAAAACCAAAAAAAAAGGATGGGAAGGGGAGGGAGAGAAGAAGATGAGGAAGCAAGAGAAGGGAAGGGAGGCAGAAAGGAGGGAAGGGAGGGAGAGGAGGGAGAGGAGGGAGGGGAGGTAGGGGAGG